TGGGTCAAGAGGGAATAGGTGCAGCTAAATACCAATTATGATGAACCAAGTGAAAAATTGCTTATCTCACTTATATTCCTAACTGAGGGATAAGCTGCTAGAAGATATAATGCAGGGTGTTATTTAGTGTAGAAATCTGACATTCTCTCATAAAGCAGTCAGGCTCTTTTAATTTGAAATTCATGGCACTGCAGAAAATAGATTGAGATTCTGGACAGGATAATAACACCATCCCTTCATCCAGGAAATGTAAAAGGTAATTTACCTTGGAGATTCCCATCGTAAACCCACAGTGGCATCCAGCTGATTGTTGTAGATCAGGCTTTTTCACTTATATCATCAACAGTGTACCTTTTATATGAGATCATTTCTAATATCCTTTACATATGGACAAATAACTTTCACTCACATCTAATGTAAATGCATCTCCCATCTCATGCCATGGTGCTCAATATTTCTCTGTTTCTATCTGTCAGGTTGAACATCCTGCTGGGTGGCATGACGCCTCTGTATTTCCACATCATAAACGTGTGTTTGCACTGCGCCGTAACCTGCCTGCTCATGCACACGTGTGAACGATGTGTGTTCGAAGACTCGCGCCTGGCCTTTGTCACAGCACTCCTCTTTGCTGTGCATCCTGTCCACACCGAGGCTGTAAGTACATGACAAACTTTAATGAACTGGCTCAGAGTGATAAGGATGGAGCTTGTGCTATAGTCATGGTTTCACCTTGATATCTGGAGCACTATACAAAGTTGCTACCAAAAATAAATTTAAAAAACTAAACAAGTATTAAAGGGATAGTGCACCCAAAAATGAAAATACAACCATTATCTACTCACCCATATGCCGACGCAGGCCCTGGTGAAGTTTTAGAATCCTCACATCCCTTGCGGAGATCAGCGGGTGGAGCGGCTAGCACACCTAATGGTAGACGGCGCCCCAGACTAACATCCAAGAACACAAAATTGAATCCACAGAGTACCTCCATACTGCTCAACCATAGTAATCCAAATGTGCTGCAGCTGCGACATAAAAAGTTGTTTCGAAAAACGTCATATGAAGTCTGTTTTTAGCCTCACTGTAGCCTGTAGCTGTGACTGCTTCTCTGTGCGCCACGCTCACGTGTGCGCGCCTGCGCGAGATCAGCGAAAGCATGAGCTTTGCCCACCCGTGTTTACATCACGTGACACGTGCACAGCAGGTAACCACAGAGCTAAAAGATAATTTGCACTACGGTCTTTTAGCAAAGGACAGCCCAACATGTCTGAAGACTTTGAAATTGAGGAGGAACAGCATTTCTTTGTTGAGCCGTATTTGTTTGAGCCCAAGTATATGCACAAAACTCAGGCTACTGGACGAAGCAGCTGCCGCAGCTCATGAGCCTAACCCTCAGCCAGCCGCAGAATACCGGAGTCGAGCACTGGAAACCTGGTCGTGTAGTTGTTTCAAATGCAAAGCAATGCCAATGGATGAGGAAAGTCTTTGCTGCTCAGACTGGGAATTGGCGATGCCTGCACTTGAGAATCTGGACATCAGTACTGACGAGACTGTTGCTCTTCAGAGACCGTGCATCACCGATCACCCTGAGCGCGCGTACACGTGAACGCGGAGCACAGAGAAGCAGTCAGAGCTGCAGGCTACAGTGAGGCTAAAAACAGAGTTCATATGACGTTTTTCGAAACAACTTTTTATGTTGCAGCTGCAGCACACTTGGATCACTATGGTTGAGCAGTATGGAGGTACTCTGTGGATTCAATTTTGTGTTCTTGAACGTTAGTCTGGGGCGCTGTCTACCATTAGGTATGCTAGCCGCTCCACCCGCTGATCTCCGCAAGGGATGTGAGGACTCTAAAACTTCACCAGGGCCTCCGTCGGCATATGGGTGAGTAGATAATGGCTGAATTTTCATTTTTGGGTGCACTATCCCTTTAACATGAGTTGGGTAATAATGGGTCACATCTCCTCAGTCTAATCTGAAACTTTGACCCTTTCACAAAACTTTCCATCACATTGAAATAGTTACTATCAGAGTGCTGACCTTTATCACAACTGCCACCTATTTTACCAGCTTTAATCCCTTGTCTAGCAACCTTGGGTCCTAAAGAGCATTTCAAAGAATGCATCAACATTTTGGGGAGTAGCTATATGCTGGACAATTTCTTGGCTGGGACCAGTCATTTCCTGGAGTCTCTGCTCTGGAAAATATTCCAGCGCACAAGCCCCATTAAACAGCAAATTGCTGGTGATGCACGTTAACATTGGCAGATTATCGGTTTTATCAACTTTAAAGGGGCAAAAAGCAAAATTGTTTAACTGCTAGGTTTACTGTTGTGCACTGCCTGTAGACCAAAACAAAGTGTGTCATGAGCCACACCTCCCTCTACCTCTGCTCTCCACCCCCCACCCCACTCGCCTCGTCTATGCAGCCAGGCACTGCAGCATCTCCATGGACTATTACATCCAGACGGTCCCGGTGTTTCTTCCGCAGGCTCCATTTCACTCAGCTACCCGATATACCCGCTGCTTCTTCCCACATTAACCTGAATAACAAACCAGGGCTCTGTGCTCCGGTTGGATCCAAACGGAGAGCCAGCGCTAACGTTAGCTGGGAAGCTAGCAGAGGCTAACTGGCTGTGCTGGCAGCTGAGTGAAGTGGAGCCTGAGGAGGAAGCACCGGTTAGCCCTGGTTTCACTACAGGCAGATTCACTCGCCACAGGGGCGAGGAAATAAAACCTAATCAGCCAACTTAGTTTGGCTTAGTTTATCAGTTAGCTATGTCTTTTACTCACTCTCGGTCTCTGCTGTGTTTAGCTATTTCCCTGCTTTCCTGTTAGCGTTAGCACTAGTCGGCTGCCATGCTAACGTCCCTGCTCTTTTCCGTGAGCCGGAGCCGTGAGCCTGCGAGCCCGCCAGCTTCACGGAGAAGAGTAGGGATGTTAGCGTTAGGCGTGTAACGATATGTCGAATTTCGCGGTGTCGCGATAAAATAAATTCTTGATACCATCGTGGGAATGCCACAGTAGTTATATAGCTGCGTTCTGCTACAGAGCCGGTAATATGACTCTGTGACTACATTCCCAATAATCCTTTGCATGCAACTGCGCGCGCAGGTGAGAGCAGACTCGTGCAGCTCAGCCTCCAACTCTGACCCGTGTGTGACCGGAGGAGACAGCGAATAAAAGTAAGGAGATTGACTGTTCTTCTCTGTGGATTTTCTCCGCGACCGTTCGTCATAGCGAGAAGCCACACATATCACGCGAAACAGCGGAATCATGGCTTTCTGACAAGACCAAACACTTGTCGGTAGTCCAATGTTTTCACAGCAAAAAAAAAAATGATACTGTGAATGTGTGTTTTTGAGTTTTTCTATGACTTCCAGGGAAATGGCTGGACTTTATTTATTTGGTTTTCTTTTACACACATCTCTACCCACCTCTCTCTCTCTCTCTCTCTGTCTCTCGTGCTCTCTCTGTGTCTCTCTGTGTATCTGTGAGTGAGGGATTGTGTGTTATTGAGTTTACATTATTTCTAATTTGTTAATTTTGTTGTTGTTGCAGGGTCTCATTGTTCTAAGTTCTGTATATTTGATGAATATTAAGACTACTCTATCCTCATAATTTGATGTCATTCAGATGACTTTCTAGTAATAGTACTACATTACTTTTGTTCAGAGTAGGTTAAAAAATACTGAATGTTTCCATTTTCATATTCTGTCACTATAGTTTTAATTGACATGACTTGACATGACATGCCTAGCAGTAATAGGGTGGAAATGAAAGCACATGTTCAGCTGTGTGTTGATTTGTTTATGATACACTTCCAAGTTAAAAATAACATGCTGTACAGTGTACATGCACTATTTTTGAATAAAATAGCTATTTTTACAATAAATGTTCTCTTTTTTTCCCCCTTGTATAAATATTGTGATATATATCGTATCGTGGACTCTTTATCGTGATAATATCGTATCGTGAGTTTCTGGTATCGCTACATCCCTAGTTAGCGTTAGCACTAGTTGGCTGCCACGCTAACGTTCCTACCCTTCTCCGTGAGCCGGAGCCATAGGGACGTTAGC